GGTATAATAAAAAGAGGATTGGACCCAAAACTGAACCTTGGGGTACCCCACAAGACAGCGGTGCAACATCAGAGTAATCCTGATTCATAAAAACAGTAAAAGACCGTTCAGATAAATAAGAGGTGAACCAGTTTAACACAGAGCCAGAAATACCAAACAAACTAATTAACAGATTAAACGTAGTAATACCTGGGAGGGGCCAGCGTTTGTTCAAGAAACTCCTCGATCTTGATGAAGTCTGTTTTCAGGGTTCCGTTGTAGAGGAGGAAAGGAGGGTTAGTCCCGGGGGCCAAGTCTTTGAGCTCAGCCGGCTTCCTGGAGACGACAGAAAGATGGAGAGGAAACCAGAACATGAAGGAGGGGATTCAGATTCAGTCTGAAGACATCAAACATGCCAGTCTTGATTAATAATATTCATAACACTGCTAGCTCTGGGAGTGGTCCTCAGTTTAAAAGACCTGTTTGTGTGCATTATGAATCACCCATTTATCAGCGCCCCTTCAAAGTTTCCTGATCTTATTTACTTCTTGATATCGACCCTGAGAAATCCACATAATAAAGCTTTAATTAAAGAAGGTGTTTGTTTAAAAAGGGACAGAGAGCTCTTTGTACGTGTTGGTTTAGCAGCCTCCTCCCTTTCAACCTCCACAAAACACACCTATTAACTGCTGAGAAAGGGTTTGGATTACTAAAGACACTCTGTGTGAAAGTCCCCATGACCATTTTGTTTTTGTTTCCACTGGCTGGGTTTGCTTACTTCCTCATATCAACGGTGGTCACAGTAAACTTGACTCCTTTCAACCACAGCACCATGAAGAGTCTTTGGCAGAAYGGGCAGTTCCCAATGTTTTCGCCGTCGTGTCCAGCCTAAAAAAGAAACACAAGAAATAAAGTCAGAGAAGTTGTCTTGTGTTTGCAACAGAAATCACGCTGTTGAGCCAAAAAAAAAAAAACCAAAAAAAAAAACCAACCAGATCTATTCTACCTTTTCTGCTAATTAAAAATGTCGTTTTGGAAGTGAAAGGAGTGTCTGGGATATTTAAAAACATTTTGCTCTGCATGTGGAAGGGAAGTGCAGGCATTGTCTTAGAACGGAAAACAGACGATTACAACAGGCTCAAGTTTTAGCCAGCTCCCTACACTTGTTTTTCCTGTCACCAAAACAAACTTGAAATTTTATTTGCCCATGGCAGAAAGGGAAGCTTGAATCGACTTTCATGTTTTCATGATTGATTATATCTTGTTTGTTCTACACGAAAATCTAATTTAAGGCTTGGCATTGCTTAAAAGAATGCATATCATCCCTCTATTTTTCACTTTTCATGTTAGAGTCTATAAGATAATCTTAGCTTAAGAATATTAGACACAGTCTCAAGCAATATGTGTTGAGGATGACTCCCAGCTACTACCAAACCAAATGTTTGTTGATTATCTGTAAAAGTGACAGAGTTATTTCCATTTATGTGTTGGTTATTGTTGAGTAGCTGTAAAAAAATAGTTTCATAGTTTTATCTTCAACTGCTTGTAATTTTAACTGTCTTGAGTCTTCATAGAAATGGTTTTTACCAGCTTCTAGCCAAGATTCTGTGTCTGTAGATACCAAACGTGTCTATGTTTAACTAAAATACCTTATAGTGATTAAAGTAGAAAACTGGGGGTTTGGACTTAAGAATRAATCAATTGGCGGCCCAGACTTTGGTCACTCTGGCCCACGGGCCGCCAGTTGAATAGCCCATGCGCTAAATCTAAGGACAACTAAAACTGCCTAATAACAATAGCAATTTTAACATTTCCGAAGGTCAGCTACCTGTACGAACAATTTCAAAATAAAGTAACTCATGAAATTAATCAGATGTAGAGGTACATCAAATGGTTATTTTCTGAAAGATTCATAAAATAAATAATAATAATATTAATAATAATAATAATGAAAGATTCTGAAATATTTTGCTAACAGACAGAGCTGAATCCAAATAATTAATGACAAACTTTTCTTAACACACCAAATCTTGGGTAAATACATATAAAACTGACTGAGTTGGTTTTTCAAAGCTAAATGACTGGACAGCTGACTCTGACAGCTGTTTGTGGACATTCGCAGGACTAAAGTGGGTGTGTCGAGTTCAGGCTTGAGGCCAGTCGCTCTCTGTGCTCCTGGCTTCTTCTGGCTGCACGATGATAACGTGCAGTCAGACAGACCTGACTGATAACAGCCGGCTGTGGCCCTCAGAGGGGAGTCAAACACCACAACATCAGCCACACATGATGTCGCGGCATGGCACCAATCAGACGGAGAGTTTTCCTCTGATTGACTCTCCCAAACAAATATTTTCTCTGCTAATCAAAAAAACCCTGAGAACTGATGGGGGAAAAAAAAGAAAATTATGTTTTCCTGCCATTTTAAGTAAAAAAAATTTTTTTTAAAAAAGTCAAATTGATGGTGTAATCTCAGAGTTTTGACAGAGTGTGAAAATAGCTGAAAGGAATCGACTGACCTTGATGAACAACTCGATGTTTGGCTCCTTTTCTGAGGTTTGTCGAAGTGCCATTTTTAAAAACAAAATAAGTTTTTTTTTAATCCAAGAAGTTGCTGCAGCCAAAGATTCTTCTACTGTGAGCAGTTTTCAAAAAATCTAAAATACAGAAGAGCCGAAGCTCAAATAAAAATAAAACAGAAACCCTTGAACAAGCGTTGCGCTGGTTTTTAAGAGCTTTTGTTTTAGTTGATATCTGAGGAAGGAATAACACCTCTTGCCCTGTTTGACTCCTTGTAGGGTATCTGACTCAGAGCATACAAGCCAAAAGGGAAGGGAGGGTCTTTAAACATGGGCGGGTACACTAACTCTCTTATGTACTCAAACTGTGTGAGGGGGAGAGACCAATATAGGGGGGTGGATATTGTGATGTACTCATATGAGTGACTCAGAACAAGCTGAAGCATAAGACACCAGGATCCAATCTTATATTAATTTAAAGGGGACATATGGTGCAAAATCCACTTTTTTAGCTGCATTTTGTTGTGTACTTGGAGTCCAGAGTACAAAAAAGTTAAAGTTAATGCTGCAAAAATATACATTAATTCTGTTTGGGTCATATCTTTCAACCCAATCAGTTAATTTTCTATGATGTTTTTTGAACTATTACATCAAGGTCTGGACTACAACTTGGTGGTCTTCATTCTCGGCTCCTCGTCAGACTCTGGCTCCAACATGTAAGGCTGGATGGACAAATCTTCCCTTGTTGACATCTATTAATTCATTTAGTTTATGCACCACTATATAGTCGTAAACTAGAACGAACTGGTCTAGAAGCTGGTGGGAGGCGTGGTGTGAAGCACCTTGTTTGGATTTAAAGAAACGGCATCAAAACGAGTTGATCTGATGCACACCTCAGGCTTGTGGAGTTACAATGAGGAGGAATTCAGACCACAGCGTTGCAGTTCCACTTTACATATAAATTAATCTAGATTTTCTTCTCAGCTGTGTTTACAGAAGGACTAATTTCTTTGTTGAAAAGCGTATTTATTCTGCATGAGCTTTCCTGTAAACATCATTTGATATCTTTACATGAATAATGCCATGAAACCAGACATGAAATGTGAAGTGAGAGTGTGTGAGAGGGAATTTTTATTGCCAAATTTCCTCTGCTACACTTCCCCCAAAAATCAAGCCAAATAACTTGGAGTGATTACGAAACCCATAAAGAGGAATTTTAAAAATGATGTTTCCTCCGAACAGGCTGCGTTCCATGTGTTCGTCTCATTTATCTGGCTGAAAGGATTTGGAGAATTTATACGATAAACGATTCTTGTTTAATGAAATTGCCAAGAAATCCTGGAAACGCGATGACTAATGCTCAGGCAATCTGAAGTGAAGCTGAAAATGTTTAACGGGGAGGAAATCACCCTTGAATTTTGTTTTAAATTACTTTAAAAACAAGGTTATGACCTGATGTTTTGCAACTGTCTTGAAACCAGAACCTCTTTTCCAACAAGACAACTTCTGAGGAATAATGATTTAATCCAGCACGCCCTGTGGGAGGTATTATACAATCTACTCCCACTTACACACTTCATTTAAACTTCTCCTTTAAGGTCGTCAGCTTTAATTAAGTTAGAGGAGGGTGTGTGTTTGTTCAAAGTTTGTCCAGTTTGGCAAAGCTTTGTTATCTTTTTTACTTCCTGGTTTCCAGAGAAGAGTTAGAAAAGCTGCAGCTCATGGAGAAAGACTCACATATCTCCTCTGAACAAACACGGCAGCTGGAAGTGACCTCTTGGGGGAAAAAAGGGGTCTTATATCTATAAACAGGAACCCTGACTGTGGACTGCCGAGTTCAAGAGAAGGAGACTTGATTTTCTGCCATTTTAAAGCCGCAGAGTCACAGGAGGCCAACACTTTCTTCCAAACACAACGGCCTGCTGCTGTGCAAATAAAAACAGCAGAAACCTTGGATATTTAGTAAAATAAATATACGTACATGCTCTTGATTTTGGAAATAGTTTTGACATGATTCAGCTCAGTTGTTCTAAGGTTTAAGGTGAATTTTTTTTTCAGACGAAAACTGATTCTTTGATCTACTTTTGATTAAATTCCAAACAAACACATCTTTAATGACATTTGTACTTTAATAAAAAGCCTTCAGATGATTTCCAGGATGCCTCAGGAAATACACAATCTTTCTAGAGCACGTGTCAAAGTCAAGGCTCACAGGCCAAATCTGCCCCTTTTTAGCATTTTATCTGGCCCCAAAGATTTTTTTTATTCAGTGCAACTTTCAAGACAAGAAAATTAGTTAGAATCTTCCAGTACTCTTTTGTTTTGGTATGAACAGAGCAACAGAGAATTGACTTTAATTGGCAGCACAATCTTTGTTTGATCTCTGGGGGGTTTTCGGTGCAGAGTTGGCATGTTTTCCTCGTGCTTATGTGGGTTTTCTCTGGGTGCTCCAGTTTCCCCAACGCCCCAAAAACATGTACAGTAGGTTTTCTTTAGGCCCAGGCTGCCCTTGCAAAAGAGATTTGTGATTTCAATGGGCTTTGCCTGGTCAAATAAACGTAAATCAAAAATATATATAAATATATATCTTTTCTGTCTTCACTTCTTAATTTAAAGTGAGATATTAGGATATTTTGTGAGGGTTTTCTTTACCTGATTTGCTGGATTTTGATAAAATGTATCTCTAAGTTATAATGAATTAAGTGAAAAAGGCATAAGAAATTAAAGCTTTGATGATTCTTTCTAAATTTAAGGAACTTGGTGAAGCCCATTTCAAACTCCGTCATGTTGGAGAAGCAATCCAGAGTGAAATGGCGGTTGCAAACTCCAGCGGGAGTGTGCCATCTGCTACTTCCAGCGCAAGAAACCACCGGCGCCTAATCTCCAAATCCTCTGGAAACATATGAATTCCATTTGTACTTCTACAACCCACTACACTACACCTACGTCCCATCCTATCCTACCTACACACACTACCACCAAGCCTAATGCTAAAGCAATGCAATATACTACAGCTATCCAACCTAATCTATAAAATAAATGAACGCTAAATCTAAAGACTATGAAAATGTATTTGATTAAATAATCTAAAGTACCTAAGTTAGAAGACTAAGCTAATTGTTAATATAATGCTAACCTGAAAATGCTTTCGATCAATACTCACAACTATCGCTATTCCAACTCCTGAATCTCTGCAGGGGAGTGGCTCTGCTTGAAACGCTTTTATACTCAGGCCCCGCGGATGTGACGAAACCATGGAGGACATGTCATAGCGGAGAACCAGTTAGCCAATATGCAAATTAGCCTGCAGTACCACACCTCAACCCATATGCGCAGCAAAAAGACGTTTTTAGACCAAATATTACAGATTTGAACAAATATGCGCAAAAAACATCAAAATTAGCACAGAAACAGTACTATATAGCATTTTAGACACATTCTAGACAGTTTATCAGCTAAAAAAGTTAATTTTGGGGTAAGTTACTCTTTAATCTTTTTTCTTTATTTGTTAAGTTATATATGATCTGAACGCTACATAATATATAATTTGTAAAGGTTAATTTGTATTTCTATAAGTATAATTTGTTACCTAACATATTGACAGATTGGCCTTTGACTTGGACCAAGTTTTGAATTTTGGCCCTGGTGTAACTGAGTTTGACCGTCTTGCTGCAGTAAAAGGAAAAGAAAAAAGTTTGTTCCTTTGAAGAGAGAATGAAATAATACAGAACTTTTACGACAGAAATTTTCACAGGTAAATGAAAATATGGTCCCYGATGGTATGATAAATACTATTTAAGACGTTATAATTTAGATGAGCATAATTTAATTGAGCTTTGGGGCACAGGAATAAAGGTTTATAGATATGTGTTCTTGGTTCATTAGTCACAGCTGCAGCCACTCTTCCCATCAACTTCATTCCTTATWATCCTTCTGTTTATCTTCACTCACCAGTTCATCGATACACATTTTACATACTATGTCTTCCTTGTTCTCCTTGTGATTCTCAAATAATTTGTAAAGAAGTTTTGTCGCCACAACAGTTGTTTTGTTTGTTTAAAATATGCTGCCTTTTGACCTCCTTGTGTCAAGTCTGTGTTTCTGGATCCAACCCTCCTGTCGACCATGATGCATAGTCTCATTAGGACAGGTCCAGTCCTGGTCCTTGAGGGATAAATAATACCCCCCCCCCCCCAAAAAAAAAGCCTCTTTTTTTTTTGTTCTTCGTTCATGTTATTTCCTCAATAAACCCCCCTGCTTTAGAAGATAACCACTGCTAATGATTAAATATGTAAAATTTGACAAAATAATCCTGTGTTTACGACTCTGCTGCATTGAAATCAAGACGGGTGGCGTCTGATTTCAGAGAGACAATGGCTTTATTGACTGTTCACCAAACACAACACTGAAAGAAAAMAAAGAAAAAAACAAGCTCTGTTGCTGGATTTTTACAATGACACCAACGTGGAGTTCCTGCTCGTCTTTCTGTCTTCTTTCTTTCCTTCTGATGATGTCTGACACACATTCAGCTCCAGATTTGTCTCGTAAGTGACTTCTTTTCTGAACGAAAATGCTGATGTGTGATTTTCCACTCGTGTGGGCTTCCAGCAGGAAGTGTCAAAAAGACATTTCCTAATAATTTGTACATCCTGTTTCTAAGCAGCAGATGAGGATCGAGTTAGGGATTTAAAATGAACAAAAAGACCTGACAAGTTCACCGTTATAATTATCCTACAGTTGATTTTGTTTTTAAGTTATTATTTTGTGACTTTTGTCATTAATGGGACATAATATAGCTTTTGTTGCATGTCTTTGAGGTTTGTATATTGTTTAATCTGACCATTGTAGTTTTGTTTAACTGTAGGCTAATAATAGTTCATTGTGAATAAGTGCCTGGTAGCGCCCCCCCAACTCACACACCCTTGATTCATTTAAAAGGACATTCTGACTCACAAATGTCCTATAGCTTCAGCTCCTAATGTCAAACTGTAATCACTGCAGAAAACTCAGGATTTTGTCTTCCTAATCGAGGTGTGGCCTCAGAAATCGCAGCCTCCATCATAAAAATACACACAAACAGGAAACATACATGGGAGGGGAGGCTTCAGTCCAGTGTCTTTGTATTTGTCTCTATGGTCAAAGTCCAAAACATTGTTTAGGAGAGTTACACCCAGTGACTGGGACACCACCCTGTCCACCAGCAGGGCTGAAGAAAATTCTAATAAGTCTGAAGTGATTGTCCAGAAGTATCGTCTCACGGACAATGACTTCATTCTGAAGAATTGTTGCTTGTTCATGCCAGAGTTTCAAATAATTACATCATCACCAAAGAAGATACAGTACACTACCCAGGTAGCAAAATATGCGTGAATCAACAATGAAATATGGTTAGGCATGAATACTGAATCCATGTTGAAATGATACAAAAAGTGGTCGGTGACTTACTTGTTGAAACAATGTTAGGTTTTCAACCATGACTGATACTATATCAGTATTGATTTAACATTGATTAGACAATAGCATTTCAATCATTAGAATTAGATAACATTGATTCAATAATATCTTTTCAACATTGGTTAGAATTGGATGATTGATTGATCGTCGACCTTAACCAAAAATCAACCTTTTTGACCATAATTCAACATTGAATTAACATCTTTTGCTATCTGGGTATGTATTACCCTCCCTTAAGAACTAGATTATTCTTTTTGTTTTATTTCAGAGATGCAGTCAAGTAAAGAAGTTTGAAAGTTATCACCTCTACGCTTCATTAGCAAATAAATCTGTGAGTCGTCTGCATAACKTTTAAAGAAAAATGGTGCCTGGCTTTAACTGATCCAAGTGGAAGCTTATAGAGACAATCTGCAACATAAGCTGTAGAGAAGGTCAAATTAAATTAAAAAAGCATGTTTTTAAAGGTCAGCTGGCTTTAGCAGCCATCTTGACTGATGACGAGATGAACGGATGTGAAACTATGGTGTTACTTCTGTGTGGGTTTTCTCCAGGTGCTCAGGTTTCACAGACCAAAAACATAACTGTTAGGCTTATTGGTAACTAAATTGTCCTTAGGTGAGAKTATACGGTTGATTGTCTTTATGTGGCCCTGGGATGGACTTGTGACCTGTCCAGTGTGTACCCCACCCCTCACACAGTGACTCCTTGATATGGGCACCAGTGACCTCTCGTGACCCTGAAAGGAAGAAGCAGGTAAAAGATGAATGAAACAGTGATCACCTTGTGTTTCAGTGTACCTCCACAGTATTCTGAAGAACCACACAGCTCACGCCTGTGAAGGAGAGACCCTCATCATCAAGTGTCCCTCCAGGACGTCTGTGTCCATCTTGTCGGCCTTCTACGGGCGACGTGTTCCTTATAAGCACCTGTGTCCCCCGACAAACACAAGCATGACAACGGTAGAGGAGGAGGACACAGAATGCACCTCCCCTGTTGCTCTGCAGGTACGTGAACCCACTGATGGTCTCCTCCTGCTCTGACCGTTCAGCAGTGAACACGTCTCATCCTGCTGTTGCAGAAGGTTCTGTCAGAGTGTCAGGATCAGCAGTYCTGTTTCATTCCCGTCCTCATGCCGGTTTTTGGACCGGATCCGTGTCCGCTCACAACCAAGTATCTTCTGGTCTCCTACAAGTGTCGACCAGGTAACCTAACTTTACACGTCATCCCATTATGGAATGAATTAAACACTCTTTACATGGCTTGTTTGTGTTTTTAATCTGCTTTTATCTGTATTTATTGAGAAAACCTGTTGGTGGAGCCCTTGTCAAGGAAGAATTTCTGTCACTTATCACTAGTCTATTTTTTGTTTCTGTTCATTAAAACCATCTTTTGTTTATTCCTTCATTTATTCTTCTGGTGGATCTGGAGCATGTTTGCAAACTGATATGTTAGGATTCTACTTTGGTTTGGACAAACTTTACACTTCCAGCTGATTTTTGTTCCCTTTTTTTCTTAAATTAGCTTAATTTTTGTATATAGAAGTTTTGACTTTAAACAATTATATAAAATAGTCATAAATGACTCTTTGTGATWGAAGAAGCTCCCTCCTACAAAATAAAAGCCTCTCCACTGTCTGGAAAAGAAGAAGAAAACACAAAGTTTTGATATGGTCGTCAAAAACTGAGCCACCATAAACCTGATCCTGAGGCACTCGRGTTCTGATAATCCAGGACCTTTTCAGAGGTCCCGCTCTTCAGTGGGTCAAACAACCAAATCTACACTAAATWTCTGAGAAAGATGCCAAGTACAGGTACTTCTTTTTGCCTTTTTCAGARCACCACCGGACCAGACTTGTGTGTGAAAACGAGCGTCTGAGGCTGACATGTAAGAACGAGACCGTTCTGGCCATCTACTCGGCCACGTTTGGACACCTGTTGCACAGCAGTCCTTACTGTCCCGAAGAACCCGGATCACAGACTGACATGGGTCTGAAACACTTGCTGTGTTTAGTCTCACAGAGTCAAACACACAGATTTTTTTTTTTTTTTTTACAGTTTGTGTATTTATGTGTTCATTCTTTCATCTCAGAGTGTTTGTCACCTGTGGCCCTGAGGAAGGTGTCCCGCAGGTGTCACGGCAGAGCAAACTGTTCAGTCCTGGCGGATACTCACACCTTTGGGGACCCTTGCTTCCCCGGCACCAGGAAGCACCTGCGGGTGTCCTTCACTTGTGGTAAATAACAGAACAGACGTTAGTGCTTTTGCAGCAGAGGCAAATAACAGTTTGAAATACCTTTTATTTCCCTTTTAGTGCCCAGATATCTTCTGGAGGATGTTGGTCGAGGGTCCACAGATCCGTTTATGATCTCAGACTACACACATGGTGAGCCTGGTGATGTTTTTCTGTTTATTTAAGTTTTGTTGCACTCAGCAGGCTGACTGGTCTCTGAAGCCCGGACCCCTCTCACCTGCAGGTGGATGGTACACTGGCCCCACCTACAGGACTCAAAATGTGTTTGTAACCAACTCTCTGGAGATGATTGAAAAAATGCTGGGTATGTGCGCTGATGCCTGCAGATATCAGGTTCTAACACAGTGGTTCCCAAACTTTTCAGCTTTTGACCCACAAAATAACAGTAGCAGAGACCTGTGCCCAACTGTGTTTGGATGATAAACATTTATATCAGGTCAACAAAACATGGGCATAGTAACAATATTTTTATACTACATTTATCCATTTTAAATACACTAACCTTTGTAACAACTAAGGCAAAAATGTAATTAATTCAGAAAATGTGATCAGGACCCCACCTTGATGTTTCGGGACCCCACTTTGGGTCCCGACCCCAACTTTGGGAAACACTGTTCTAACATCACATCTGCTACAGTTGATTTAGAAGATAAAACGTTTTGTTTATAGTGCAATGTAGTTAAAAATTACCACAACTGTTGGGGCCAGACTAAGAGATTTTTTTAAAATTAGGAGAATAAAGTTTATTACCAAAAAATAATTAATAATACCAGATTAAAGTCAAAATAATACTAGAATAGTCTTTAAAATAGACACCGTATTTTCAAAATCCTGCTACTTGTAATATGTTGATGTTTATGTGTTAGAATACAAATTTCCTTATTTGTAAAACTGATACCAAAGTATGATTTTATCAGATTCTCGACATTCCTTGTTTTCATGTAGGAGTTCTCAAAATATTATGGCTTAATTTGCATCATTTAAAAATAATTATCTTAGTCTGGCACAAATGGTATACTATAGGGCTGTATTAAATGCAGGTCATACCAGCTCAATAATAAACATCTGGATTGTGAGTAACTGCACAATTAGGTTTTATTTCCTTTCAATTTAGCTTCTTTTTAAGTAAAATATTTGTCTCACAAATGACTTTTCACTAAAGATTTTCTCATATTTACACCCCTTTCCAATTGTTACTAGTTGTTATTGTTTTTTATTTTGTTCAAATCAAAAAGCCTTAAAGCAGGGCTACTCAACTGATGGCCTGCAGGCCTCATCCGGCCCATGGGTGACTTAAATCTGGCACCAATTAATTCCTGACTTTTTGTTTTATTGAAATCATTGGCTTTGAAGGAGTATCGCAGAAATCATGTATCCTGAAGTAAAATAAATATATACTTTTTTTTACTTTAATATAAAAATTGATTTTAAATCCATTTTAAATTGTACAATAACGATTAAATGCAGCAAACAAATTCGAAAGGTAAAAGATAATACTTGTTATTTTACATAATGCCGTGTTTCCTCTGAACTGTTAGCCCCCTGAACAATTCAGTTAAAAAGTCCTGCCTTAAATGTTTGTTACACTTTTATGAACAAGTAAATCAAACACTTTCAGAAACAGTGTGTGAGTTAGCTGTATACAGTATGTGAGTCGTGCATACAATCAGTATCATGTTTGCGGCATTTTAATAATAAAATCTACGCTAATCCAGAGTCTCATGTTTGGTCTTGTTTTTGTTAGTTTTTAAAAACATTATTTGCATAATCTAATAATTCTTAAAATGACCTGTATACCAGGTAAAAAGCACAGTGTTTAGTATAATGAACAGTTTTATCAGTGAGAGCATTTTCAGCGGATATTTTGTACATACTTTAAAGTATTTTCTGTTGATATGAAAAACAACTTTTATGACACAAATATAAGCATGTGGGAAAATGCCTTTTGTATCAGATGGGTTTACTACACCACTAACATTTAATGATTTATTGTTATATAAATGATTTTTGGGATGATCGCACGTCTCCTTCAGGTCTCCCGGAGCGAGTGGCTCTGTATTTTGTCTCTGGGATCTGTGCTGGTCTGGTTTTCCTGCTCTGCCTCTTCGGCCTTCGCTCCACGTTTGTGAGAGACGTCAAAGGTCTCATCTCTGACCTGAAAGATGAGCTGAAAGCWTCGCGCAGGAGGAAGAAGGAGCTGATGGACGACCTCTTCGACGAAGACGTCTCAGACACGTCCTCCTTTCGTCGCCTCACGCAGTCTTACCGGACAGCGGACGTCTTCAGCCCTGCGGCCCTCACAGTGGAGCTGGTTGAGCGTGACGTGCAGCCAATCAGGGATTTACCCAACGGAGACATCTGGCCACAGCTGGACTCCAGCCCTTATGCCATTCACAAGGTTATAACTTAAAACTGAAGATTTACTGCTATAAAATGAAAGTTTAATCACTTTAACTCATTTCTCTCTAATGATGAAAACTGAGCTCATTTTGAGCATTTAAACCAGAGAATTTGTTTCTGAAATTAATTTGAAACGTACGTGTTTTGTAACAACAGTTTGATTAGATTTGATACATGCAGAATTTAAAAAAGATGAGAGCAGTTGACGCAACACAAAATGTTCTTATTAACAAAAATAGATGAATGATAATGACATTCTGGTCAGGTTGTTTTCTCTGTAAAATAAAACGTGTTAAACATCATCACTGTTTCCTGTCAGATGAATATTTAACACGATTTTTGTATTTGAAGATACACAGACACGTCAGTTTTAAAATGCATCTGTGACATGAGGTCAAAAGAAATGAATATTTAAACGTTTTTAAAAACGGAATATACAATTTAAAATGCAAAAGAGTTCAAGAAATTAGAACCATCTATTCATCTGTAACTAAGATGATTGTGTGGGAACTTTTCGTTTACTTTGTCCTTTTCAAAATTACAAAATTCATAAATGCAGTTTAAATTCATCAAGCTCTTCAGATTGTGAATAAACTGTGTAAAAAGACTAGCTTTAATTTTAAATAAAGAAGCAGTTAAATTAGTATTTTAAGCATTTTTTGGAGACAAATAAAATTATCAACAAAATTTCTGATAAATTAACAAAGTTTCAAAAAGTAGTTTGGAAAATTGCATTATCTTGGAGGTTTAAGTTTATTTAACTGATTATATGTTGTTCTATTTGTTTTTTAAACTATAGAGCTGTTTTTACTTTGATTTTAAGTTTCTAATTTATTTTACACTGATCTGCTGATGTCTTTCATTACTATGGGCCAGTTATGTCATTACACAACATTATTRTTGCTGTAAAATTAAATTACTTTTAGATGTACTCTAGTATATTAATAAAAAATTATACAACACTAAAATGTATAGTAACACAATGTTATTGTGTTAAATTCCAAATMATCTGAGAAAATGTGAACAATTTGACCGTGTTATAGTTAGATTGTTCCTCATCCAGGGCAGCAGGGGGCGCTAAGTGAGCGCTTGTTTTTTGCGACCTCCGCGAAAATGCTACACGACGAAGCCGCTCAGGGAGTTTGTTAGCATTAGCTAAAAAAAAAAAAAAACAAGCCTCCCCGCTAACGTTATGTTGTCCGACGGGTTCGTGTCTTGACACCGAGCAGGACGCGACAGACCCTGCTTACTTCCATGTTACTGACAGAATGTTGGAAATCAACCGGGATATTTGGCTTTCTACGCTCTGTTGAACATTCGTGTCACCGGTCCGGCGGCAGCAACAACAGCTGGCTAAAGGAGAGCGCTCGGCCACCAGCTGCTGTCCGGAAGGAGGCCGCCGCAGTCCCGTGTGGAGATTTCACTTTTTCCGCTCCCAACATCAGCACAACGCGAAGCCCGCAGGCTAACCATACATTGGTATTTATAATATTTACGTCGGAATGGAGTCCACATTGGGAATATGCAAAGAAGAATGCTTGACCATATCCTTCAAGTTTTGTTTACGTTTGCTGTTTGTAGTAACAATGCTTTAATAACAGTTAGGTTTATAAATTCATCATATTTTCTCCGGTTTACCTCTAAATACATTATTATATTAGCAGAGGGGCTGTTTTACAGTTACAGCAGGCTATCCTTTGTTTTTACTGTAGACAACCAGCGTGAACGCAGATGGAGATTTAATCTGTTTTAGTTAATCCTGGATGTGTCTTTTTTTTTTTTTTTTTTGGTTCCCAATCATAAATTGCAATTATCTAACACCTCTAACACGCTTTCATACAGTCTCCTCATATACTTGTCTTTTTGTTTACAGTCTGGCATTAAAATACTACAATTAGGTTCACAGATTTTAATGCAAGTTTGTAATTTAAGTGTAGCAATCTGTATTTTCACACTTAAAGTGACTGTTTTAGTCACAGGGATAACTAATACAGAGTGTTGTTTGTATTGATGTTAAAGATTCAAATGTATTTGGTCTGTATCACTGTGTAGATAAAAAACTGTTTCTCCTCATCATCCGGTTTTGATTTTTGTGAAACCAGTGTAAGCCTGAATTTCTTGATATTTTTTATTTTACTTTTGTAAATTAGTCCACTAGTTTAGGTTATTAATATTGACTAAACATAGATTTTTAAAAGAGTGAGTCAATTTAGCTGCACTGACCACTGCGACACCCACTAAACTGCTTCCTGACTTGAGTTTAGTTGTCCTCTTCACTTTGAATGGCTTCTTTTAACCATTTCCACTATCTGATCAYGCACTAACACATGTTAACCAACAACGGGTCTGTGTTCGGGGTCGTTCTGGAGTCACAGCTGTTAGTTGTGATGTTGAAATGACTCTCATCCTCCCACCTCAATGATTCCTTGATTGTGTTGCTCACACGGTAAGAGGTCAGGAGCTGAGGTCTGGCCAGAAGGAGCCCAGACTGCTGTCACTAATTGAGCGCAATGGAGTGTTTATGTAAGTATCAGAGATCCTGACGAGTGAATACTTGTGTGATTGCTGTCTCTATTCAGCACATTAAGGTGTTTATTTGTTGCATTAGCTTTGGGTTTATTCACATAAAATCCAAAGGAGCGGCAGCTGGAGTGKACAGAATAAGCTGGGATTTATTTGCAGTGCTTATAAGTTAACATTTACTGAATTGCTTTCCTGCTTTGTGGCTTTTGCTATAATTTTTGTTAACGTTATTTAAAAAGTGTGCACTAGAATAACACGAGGAATGATGGTAGTTATGGTTGATGTTCAGGTTAATATGTCAAGGTTTGATCTGAATCTATATAAACGTTGTTGTTGGCTCAGATATGTTCTTTGCTCAGCTCAGAAACCAGGATCTTTAGCTGAATGAACCTGCGTCACGACGCAGATTAGCTTTTAGGTGTGACATAACTGCAAGTCATGTGGACAGGACATGGTTACTGTCCACTTGACAGCTCCGGGGCTTGTTTAGTGACAGGAGACCAGATGTGTGACACGTTTTAAACGGCGGTGGAGCTGTTTCACCAGCAGCCACCTCGCTGCCGAGCACCCAGAATTCCTGCACTTCGTCTCGGACTCTTAATGAGGCTCACATGGGCTCACGAGCCGCAGGCTCAGCTAACTGTGTTAAAACCACACAAGCGAAACCGAGGGACGGTTTAGCCAGGGCAACGCTACACTACTGGTGCTTGAAGTCAGCAGTAATTAATTACATTGCGCAAGATGTTACAGTATGATGCACATCTATACAGAACAGAAAAATTACTGACCAGCACCAATTTGCTGGAATTAAGGAAGCGATCTAAAACTAGTTTATGTTATTAACATCAAAGTTTTTATAAGACAGGTTTAAAAAGATGAAACAAAAATCCTTCAAGTAAAGAGTGCAGCGAGGACCTCCTCTCCTGCGGGTTGTTTGACGTCAGCCGTCCTGACAGATTCAGGGAACAGCCTCTGACACATTCAGTCCCGCAGGCTTGAATCATTTTCCCTCTCCTCGGCCATAATCTTATATATCGTGTCATGGAGGGACTGAGTGGGCCGTGCCCAGAAAGCTGCTTTGACCCCTGCTGTTAGACTGATAGTATTCAGTGGAAGAATGCGACCCAGCCTACATTAACCCACAGCATAAACTAGAAACTGTTTGCGTTGGCAGTTGAGTAACTCGACATYCTCAGTCTGAACATGCTCGGTGTTGCCTCAGTTAACTCTGAAYAAAGCGCTGCTTGTTAGTTATTTGTGTAACTTGACTACAGAAAATTTGCATGCGTGCATGGTTATTAAATGCTGAATGTTACTTACACTTTGCATCTTATATGTTCAAACTAACTGTCTATTTTTTTGCATGACTCTTTAAGTTGCACAAAATACTTSTCTGTATATATTTTGTGTTTTTATAATATGCAACTGAAAAGCATAAATGACATTAAATGCTGTTATTTTTCAGATTGGGTGTTTTGGCCAACCCTGAAGCTGTCGTGTCTCGTCCGGTGGCGCAGCTGTCCATACCCATTAATGATAAATTTGAAATTGTGAAAGGCACGTAGCTTTTCTTTGACTCCCTGTYGAAATTATTGCAACGTTTTCTGCTATGTTCGGTATAAAAGTTCAGAATGTTTTATTGCAGGTGTCTGTGCATTATTTTGTGTGCAGCCATTTTTTTTTCAGTTCAGAAAGTTCAGGGAGCATTTCAGTCACACCTGAAGCAATTTTTGAACGTAAACGCGGAGTAGGTTGTGTCCGTTGGAATAATTTACAGCCCCGCAGGCTCACTGTCGCCACAGACCTTTGAACTTCACCATTTTAAAATTTTTTTCCTGTTTCCTTTTAGAAGCTGAGGAAGCCCTGCTTATTGACTTTGCTGAAGAACGTGAGTTTTTATKTGTTGTTTGAAGTTAAAAATAACGATCCAATAACTTAATTATTTTTAAAGCGGGTTAAATATGTTTGTAAGGAATGCAGCACAGCCTTTTTCTGGGTTTACAACATGCTTAGGTCACGCCTGTAAATCCATGTCTTCATTTAGTTGCATACATTGAGTTGCCATGACTTTGCTGAAGAATGCTTTAATGGTTTACTATGCTTTAATGTTTTACTGCCGCGTCACTTGGTTTTGTTTCACCGATGCTGTATTTTTTCATTCGTTAGAGGAATCCCATGGTGTCTGACATGCATGCGTGTGTTTCCCTGTTTAAGCTTGTGTTAAAGTACGAATCAGGGGAGAAAAAGCACCGGAGCTGCTGCTGGAGCTTCAGGATGACGATCGGACTCAGCTCTTCTTAACCCAAGTGAAAAGTGTTCAGCATCAAGGTAAGACTACACGCTCTGCCCAGTTTCAAACAGCCGGGTGATGAATTATTGAATCACTCATCCAACATTTATTTACACAGGGTGGATTATGTCGTCTCGTAATCCGTCTATTTCTGTCATTGCAGGATGAGTTAAAAAAAACACCTTTTGACTGCGATTTTTACACTAACAAGATAAAAGCTGATCTATTTTCTGTGAAAACAATCGTAAAGTTTACTTTAGTGTATGTTATGTCAAGTACAGTTAGGTTACAAAAAAGTAACCCAAAACTTTAAAATAATTGCCAAAAATTCCTGATAAAATCCTGATTTTACTAGAAACCTCATTTAGAAGATATTAAAGTGGAACATTTGTGTATTTATTTATTCATTTTATTTATTGTCTTTAAACAGGGAAAATGCTGTGTTGTATTAAGCGTGAGTGTATGGTTTACAATTGAAAAGATAGGGATGCTGTGATTCACAGCAACCTAAATAAACATATGATTATGCATGTGTACAAAGAGGAATGGACAGCTGCTAATAATCCTGTTCAGCCCAATAAACACAAATTTATCCTAATTATATGGACAAAATATTGTATAACTTCTTTGGAAAAGAAATAGCACAAAAAGTTAACTTGGTAGATGTTGTTGAAAGAATATCACTAAATTTAGCTGAGAACATTGACATAATCATTTTCAGTTATCAGGTTTCAGATAAAAATGTTTATGATGTTTTTGAGAAAAGATGGAAAGATTTACGCACTTCCCATAAAAAGTAAGTATATTTGTGTTTAGTGGATCATTTCTTTGTAACAATGCTGCTCTGCAATAAATCCAATCCAATTTATTTAGAAAGCCCTTTAAAACTCCTGCAAAGGAACAAAGTGCTGTACAGTAAAATACAGTAAAAACACTAAACAATAAAAGATAAAAAGAATACAGTCAAAATAAAACCTGATAAAAACCATAAAAAGCAACAACATAAAATGTAGCAAAATCCAGCGAATAAAAGTGTTTTCAGTGAAGATCTAAAAGCAGCTCACAATGAGGCGTTCCATAAATTAGGACACAACACTGCAAAAGCCCGATTCCCTCTGAGCTTACACCTGAATTTATGTACAAGAAGAAGCTAATCAGTGGATCTGAGAGAACGTAAGGTGTGCACGGAAAAGGTTCAAAAAGACAGGGAGGGGTGAGATTGTTTAACGATTTAAAAACAAATAAAATCATTGTAAAATGAATTCTAAAATGGGTTGGTAACCAATGCAGGGATTTTAAAACTGATGCAATGGGATTGAATTTCCTTGTACTGGTTAAAAGACTCGCGGCAGCATTTTGCCTAGACCCACTGATCCCAGCATACAGAGCATTACAATCGTCCAGCCGAGTTGTTTTAAAAGCATGAATCACTGTTTCAAACAGACTGACCTTATTTTAGCCAGCTGCCTCAGATGAAAGGAACAAGATTAATAAATCTTACAGCGGGCAGCTGATTGGCAGCACCCGGGGGTACCAGAGAGGCTCAAAATAAGTGACGGTAGCAACAATAAAATAAGCTGTTTGGCTGAAAAGATTTGACAAATGTTTCGTGTGCGCAGCCCACATACCCAGCTCGACTGCTCATCACTCAAATTTCAGTGCTCTTTATTTATCTACTACCAAGTCACAACAAACATCTCATCGTCTAAGGCAGTGTTTCCCAAAGTTGGGGTCGGGACCCAAAGTGGGGTCCCGAAACATCAAGGTGGGGTCCTGAAAACATTTTCTGAATTAATTACATTTTTGCCTTAGTTGTTACAAAGGAATGAGGTTAGTGTATTTAAAATGGATAAATGTAGTGTGAAAAATATTGTTACTACGCTCATGTTTAGTTGACCTGATCCAAATGTTTATCATTCAAAACTAGCTGGGGGCACAGGTCTCTGCTACTGTTATTTTGTGGGTCAAAAGCTGAAAAGTTTGGGAACCACTGCACTTTGGTTCCCAAAGTTGGGCTTGGGACCCAATTATGGGTCATCATGAAGCACCTTGGATAATCTCCAGAAATCAATTTAAAGGGTAATAAAATAATTGTTGACGTAATATTTTCCCTATAATTACAAAAACACAAAACAAGTAAAAATAAGGATTTATATTTGTGTATAAGTTGTTTAGGTTGTCAAAAAAACTGTGTTTTTAGGGTTATTAACAAAGTTTGTGTACTCAGACCAGTAATATTTGTGTCACAAGTTTTTGCCATGGATATTTTGTGGGTCAGAAGACAAAAGGTTTGGGAACCACTGGTCTAAGGAAGCCAGCAGATTGTGTTGAATCTACACTTTGTTACAATCTCCCCTCCTGAGCAGCACATTGGTTCCACAAGAGAGCAGCCTGAGAACTAAAAGCTGGAGGCAGACCTCCAGTTCTACAACCCCTGGCAAAAAGTAAGGAATCACCAGTCCTGGATGAGCACTCATTCAGACATTTCATTCTGTAAAACAAACTCAGATCAAAAACATGATACAATAATAAAGTTATTCCAAAGTACAACTTGTTGGCTTTCAGGAACACTCAAAGAAATGAAGAGAAAACATTGTGGAAGTCAGTGATTGTTACTTTTATTGACCAAGCACAGGGAAAAAAATATGGGATCACTCAGTTCTGAGGAAAAAAATGGAATCACTCAAATTGGAGGTAGAAAATAAGGACACACCCAGTCAATTTCCTTTCTCTAAATGGACACCTGCCTTAGATTAGATCTGTTTGTTAGTCTGCAGTTAAAAACACCTGCAGTCATGACACCTTGGAGGGCTGCTGGACGAAGTGGAGTGGCAAGAACCATGACTCCCAACAAGAGAAATGTCTCTTGAAACAAAAGAGAGGATTCCTCAGAATTGAGTGATTCTATATTTTTTTTCCCTGTGCTTGGTCAATAAAAGTAACATTCACTGACTTCCACAATGTTTTATCTTCATGTCTTTGAGTGTTCCTGAAAGCCAACAAGTTTCACTTTGGAATAACTTTATTATTGTATCATGTTTTTGATCTGAGTTTGTTTTACAGAATGAAATGTCTGAATGAGTGCTCATYCAAGACTGGTGATTCCATACTTTTTGCCAGGGGTTGTATTTTGCATGTTCCTTACAAATGTTACGCCGATTAAAAGGGAAGTTAATAAGCCAAACTATATTTATTGCCAAGAAGCATTGTTACAACGAAGAAATAATCTACCAAACACAAATTACTTCTTGTTTGAATTGTTTTTTTTTAATATGAGTGCTTCTTTTTATAAGCACGCTTCAGGACTCTCCAGTATTTTGTTCCATAATTGATTTTAAGTAAACAGTGCTGTACAGAGAGACAACAAAGGAGTCCATGCTGCACCGTGTCCACGTTACTTTGGACTTTTTAAAATCTTGGTTCCCACCTCTATGGTCAACATCCTGGTGAGGTAATCTTTTCAGAATAGTGAAAGTGCCAAAAGCACAGACATAATTATTTCCTGCTTTAAACTCGTTCATCCTGTTTGGTAGTTACTATTCTTTGCTCTCATTTTCTRATTAATGGTAGTTTGAGCTGATTAAACCAGACGAGGAGCACTTCCTTCTTCCTTTATTTACATTTTTGTAGCTGAAGTTTCTGTAACTTTATAAATGAGTTGCTTGTATTTCATGACTAAGTTGCACTTTTTAAAAGTTAAGATTAAGATKGTCGTATGTTTCCCTCTGTTTGGTGTTTTCAGTTGCACCTAAATTTACCAAACCAGCTCAGCCCCCTAGACCTATACCCAAAAGAGGGCCAGCCCCCTTACCACCCAAAGGAGCAATCAAGACGGCGGGCATGATGGGCGGTGGAGACAATCCAGCCAACTCTGGGGCTGCACCGCAGGCCAACCTCAACCACAGCGCTTCAACAAACCATAATRAAACCGGTAACGTCATGAAGTTTAGAACCGTTTCTTTTAAAATACTTGATCTGATGTAGTCTGACATCGTCTCTTTTCCTTTCACAGATCCAAATCAGATGCTTGCAGATTTTGGATTCTATGAGAATTTCAACAACGCCCTTCAAGTGGAAGAGAAGAAAAACCAACAGAATCGCTTTGTTGCCTCCAGGGAGCCGCCGCCTGTTCCCACTCTACCTCTTCGTAAAGCCTCCTTCCCCCCGACGAATCCTCTCCCTCCCACACCCGTCCAGAAAGACAAACCTGTCTCTGTGCAGGCCAAAAGCAGCTCTGCAGTAACTAACACTAAGCCAGAGTAAGCTAGCCGGCTTTTCTCAGACTCAGATTTTGTAATAAAAGCAGTTTGTCAGAAACACGGTAATACTTGTGTTAAAACATTTTATTTATATCATTCCAGTAGTTCCAGGTCAGGATATGACAATGCAAACAAGTCTTGGCGTGAAAGTCCCACATCACAGTCTATGTTATCCAGTCAGTCAGGACAGAGAGAGTACTTCATTAAACACCGCCTGGGAAAGAAGGAGAAAGAATACGTGGATATCAAACACTTCAGGTAAGAGGAGCTTCTTCATATTGTGTGTTTTTAGTGGTAAAATGCTCAAAATCTATATAGCGCCTTTGTAAAGGCCTTAAAAGGTTTCTCATACTCACACTCAGACACTTTCATTATATATWTTTTTTCAAGCTCAATAATAAATATAAGAATGGGATGGTAACAAAGTGCCCAAAAACTACACAACAAACATTGAAGCTTTTAAGAAGCGTAGATGTTGGGTAAAGCTGCCTCAGCTGCAGCCATGAACTATGGGTGTGTTTGTGTTTTGGCCAAACTCTCTGAAGTATGACGTAACTCCACCAAATGCAATCAGACAGCAGCCTAATACTATAAGCAGGCCTTTGTGATTTGTGAAGCAAGAAAAACACAGATGGAGTCAGGAAATGAGGTGTTAAAAACTGAATTTCCTGTACAACATGGAATTTGGATTCTTCTTGGGAATTTTGCACTTAACCACAACGTTCAAAATGAAAGTCAAAGTTTGCTGACTGCTGCCTCCTCTGTTAGTGAGATTTGATGGAAGGAGGGGGAAACAGCAAATGTTTGCTCCTCCCTCGCTGCTTGTCGTCACTAAGAGGAGCTGATCCTGAGAATATGCTTCTATATTTGGAAAGTAGATGAAAGATATAGTTTCCTTCAGTAGTTCTGTCCTTTAGACTTCTGTCTTATTGTAAAACAATAGAGCAGATGATAAAAGGCAGATTAAAACTTTGATTCAGATATGTTCCCGTTTGTCATGTTCTAATATTTTGCAGTTTTACGTAAATATCAATATGAATATTCTTTCTATTTTCTTTTTATTTAAATTTTAGACTAGACATGTCTAAAAAATTTTAAACTTTGTTTGCACCTCTGTGGATCTTAGCTGGGGTCATGAAGTTTGGTAACTTTTTTTTTTTTAGCTGAAAGAAAAATTTTGGAACTGAAAAAAATTTGAAACTGAAACAAAAAAACTGGACAAAAATGTTTTGAAACTGATAAAAAAATTAAATACAACATGTATCATATAATTCAATATGAATGGCTTTGTGTTGTATCGTATTATTAGTGAAGTATGGCAGGGTGTTGTATCATATAATCAAATAAACGTGGCATTTTGGATACTGGGTATGGCAGGTCATTGTATCATACACTTATTGTTGTATGGCAGGCTGTTGTATCTTATTTTAAATATGGCAGGCCGTTGTATCATACAGTTATTGTTGTATGGCAAGCCGCTGTATCATATTATTTTAAAATATGGTAGGCCATTGTATCATACATTGAACATGGTATGGCAGTGATGTAATTAAAAAGTATGGCAGGCAGTATTATATATTTCATGTTGTATGGCAGGTTGTTGTATCATATAGTTTAAAAATGTGGTAGTTGTTGCATCGTAATTACCAAGGTATCTTTTTCTTTTCCATTTTCAAAATTATTTTTCAGTTTCAAACCATTTGTTTTCAGTTTAGAAGTAAAAAAAATGTATATATTTTTAACAAACTTCATGGCCCCAATTTAGCTCCACATACCTGCACTTATCAGCCCCCACGTGTTGCTTTTCAGTATTTTTGTAGGAACATGGAACGTTAATGGGCAGTCTCCAGACAGCAGCCTCCACCCCTGGTTGAGCTGCGACGCTGAACCCCCTGAAGTTTACGCCATAGGGTCAGTAAGAGGCGAAGATTTCTCTGACCCTGAAATAACACGATGTTTACTCTCACATAACTTGCAATATGGTGGTTTGATTTTTTTTTTAATTGTAGTTTTCAAGAGCTAGACCTGAGCACAGAGGCTTTTTTCTACATGGACTCATCCAAAGAGCAGCTGTGGACCGAGGCTGTGGAGAGGAGTTTGCACACAAAGGGCATGTACAGGAGGGTGAGTAGAGAAAGACTGAGAGGAAGTTGACCAGTTGCATGAAAATCAGAATCTCTCAGAACATTAAAATTTATTATGTTTGTAATAAAGTCGTACTGTAAATGTAATGAACAATGTAGTCAGAGATCTTTTAGGACAGTTGTAATCTTATCGGACGTGTTTGAAATCTTTAATTTCTTTATATAATTTTATAGATTCGGACCATACGACTCGTTGGAATGATGCTTCTGGTTTACGCCAAGAAGATTCATAAGAAACACATTAGAGAAGTGGCTGCAGAGCACGTGGGGACGGGCATCATGGGAAAAATGGTTTGTTTACTCTGAGCTTCTTGTAAAGCAGCAGGAGATAACAATGAARTGTTGCTTTGTAAACATCAAAGTCTTTATTTTTCAGGGGAACAAAGGAGGTGTGGCAGTGAGGTTTGTTTTTTACAACACTAGCTTCTGCTTCGTCAACTCTCATCTGGCCGCACACGTGGAGGACTTCGAGCGCCGAAACCAGGACTACAGAGACATTTGTGCTCGTATGACGTTCCACCTGCTGGATCAGCCTCCTCTGACCATCGTCAAACACGAGTGAGTTCTTAAATACTGAACCTTTGCTTTGAAAACGTTTCTGTTTACCTTATTTGTCATGACAAATAGAGTGTGATTGTATAATTGCTTGTGTGTCTGCCATGTTAGAAAAATATCTCATAAACCACTGAATGGGTTTTCAGTTGTACATCTACAACTGATGAGTTCTTGACGGCTGCCACAACTAAACTGACTTTAGCAAACACAAAAATGATAATTTTTACAAAATTTGAGCTAAAGTTTGGTTTGRTGTGGCAGTAGAGTCGTTGTATTTWTACATGTRTAATGCAAAACATTTAATCCCAAAAATCATCCAAAAAGTTGTACTACCACAATAAGTTAAATACTTTCTTATGTATAACTGAACTATTGTGTCACGGGGGATAAATCATCATAATTTCTCCTTCTGATCTCCTGTTGCAGAATAAGTTTTGAAGCTTATGATAGTTGTTTTTTCACACCAGAGTCAGAGGAAGAAAAACTCAACAAACACGCCCAAACTGTTTCCCCCATATAGTCTGTATGCAAATTAGGGGTAGCATTAAACACAAGGATTAGATTTATTAAATGCTTTTTAAGSTCAAAAGATAAGAGTCACATTAAACTCAAATAACATGATAGAGCAAAATCTTTGTTTTTAAACTTTGGCATTTCAAGGCAGCCGGTTATCTTCAATTCCTTTCTGAAAYGCTACTTTTATTAGTTTTGAGGTTTTCTCAATGAATGCTTCCTGKGACGCTTGATTCTTTATGCTACCAAATATATTTGACTTTTCAAGAATAAGCAAGTGAGAATTAACAATAATTTTATTATTTTTTTCTCAGCGTGGTGATCTGGCTCGGGGACTTAAACTATCGTCTCTTCCAGTACGAAGCACATGAGGTCAAACTACTTCTTGCTCAAAAAGCCTTGAAGAAGCTGCAGGAGAGTGATCAGGTAATAAAGAACCTCAGTGTTTCTCTGTTTGTTTTGAAACTGGGAAAAAACTGGTCGCAYGTCATTTCAATAAAGTGAGAAATAAAAGTCAGTTTAGCAGCTGTTCTTCTCAGTAATCAGACTTCGTTAAATCAGATTAAGCTTTCATCTGAGAGCTGCTGTTCAGGTATTTCACGTTTAATATCTTTGATAAAGCCACTGACAAAAACTTATACATAAACAGAAAGTAACTTTTGATGTTGATTAAATATTGTATTTTATTTGCAGGAGAAAAAAAATGTTGCAATTATTATTATTATTTTTTTACTAAATGAAAATTTAAAATATGTATTTCTTTATTTTCACTTTGCAGCTCAACATTCAGAGGCAAACAAAAAGAGCCTTCACTGACTTCATGGAGGGAGAAATTACTTTTGTTCCCACCTACAAATATGACCCTAAAACAGACATGTGGGACTCAAGGTGAAACCATATTTCTGTTTTGTTATATTTTTTAAATAAACAGAAAAATCTGGGAGTTAAAGACCAACGCTCACATACAAATTGTACATAAACGTCTCATTTTCTCATTTCTTTAGTAAATTCTGGTGCAGTTTGATGGATGAGTTTAATTTGTGTGGTACAGTTTAGACTCGTTTTCAATAACAAGTTGTGACTGTGTTACAAAAGTGAGAACAATTTAAAACACTACATTTGGAGAATGTAAGCATTGCTTCTCTGTTAGCTGTTTCTTTAATTAAATGTTTGGAACAGAGACAGACATTAAACCTGAGCTCTCACATTTAGTYTGATTTCTGTGCCACAGTTTAGCCGCACTTCTCATTTTTCATCTATGAAATTTGCCTTTTCTTGCTGACTCTTTGTTTATAAGGACACCCTCAACAGCTTTTATYGCTACACTAATCGACTGTAGCATCTGTGTGTGTTTTTATGTGCTTGTCCTTTTCCTCGAAACTCTTATCTGTTTCCTGCAGTGGGAAGTGCCGAGTTCCGGCTTGGTGTGACAGAATCCTGTGGAGGGGCAGCAGCGTTGAGCAGCTTAAATATCGAAGTCACATGGAAATGAAAACAAGCGACCACAAGCCGGTCAGCGCCCTCTTTAAGATCGGGGTAAGAAGCTATAAAAGTTTAAAAAAAAGATCCTAGACTGACTTGTTTAGGCTGAAAATTCTAGGGTAGTACTTTAAAGTGCCTGTGACGCCAAATTTTCGTAATACATATGAATTCATTCATTGAAAGATGACATTGATTAAATATTACATAAGAAATTTAATGTCGCTGAGATGAACAGTTGTTGAGATATTTGCAAGTGAAGTAGCAGGAAGTGATGTCAAAGGGGAATGTCTGAATGTGAACAGAGCATTGCTACAACAGCTAATAACACAGACTGTAGAGAAGAATCTGATGTTTCTTAAGATTATTTTGAGTCACAGTCAGAGAGATGAAGAAGAGTCAGAGTTCAAATAATATTGTTTCAATAAACAAAGACCAGAGAGTGTTCTTTGTTAAAGAGTTCCCCTTTGATGTCACTTCCTGTTTCACTTTGGCTGAGCCAAGTTCAAAAGAAAATATGCCAGTTATGGGACAAAATGGGTAAAATTGTGTGTATTGTTCCAACTTTTTTAAATATTAAGATGTTTTCTTTGAMTTTTCGTATTTGAAGAATATGCATGTCACGGGAACTTTAAATTAAGTTGTATAATTTTGATGCAATTATATGAGGAGAATTCTGATTAAAAATGATAAATCAGCATACATTACAAGTGTTGATGAGCGCTGGTTTCTGTGCATTTGTGTCGCAGGTGAAAGTCCCAGATGAGCAGCGCCGCAAAAAGGTGTTTGAGGAGATCGTTCGAGCGATGGACAGAATGGAGAACGACTTCCTTCCATCCGTGTCTCTGAGCAACATAACCGTAATTATCCTGAAAAAACCCGCTTCTAGTCTGCGACCTAAAAATCATTAAACCCTTACAATCTGTTAAACTTCGCTGTGACGGAGCAACTCTCGAGTGATGTCACTGAGAAGCTGTGGTTTCTGTTGCCTCTGTTCTGCAGTTTGCGTTTCTGGATGTGAAGTTCAGGCAGCTTCAGAAGGAACGCTTCCTGATAACCAAYGATGGGCAGGTGCCCTGTCACTTCGCCTTCATCCCCAAACTCAACGACGTGCAGTACTGCAAACCGTGGCTGCGCGCCGAGCCCAGCGACGGSTTCTTAGAGCCCAGTAAGTTATTTTCATTTGATGCTTTTACTCACCTGCAAACGACAAGACGTGATATCAAATAGTCTGTGGATAACTCTTTAACACAAGAATAATAAACTTATAGTTTCTTTTCTGAAACAGTTGGGTTCTTTCACCCCACCACATTCATGTATATAATTATTTTTAGACCCATAAATTCAGGATTGTTGTTCGACAGTTCAAAAAAGTCTCATTCATATATTTTTTTACTTGTCTGTATAAAAATAATTCTTTTAGTTTGCTTTGATCTGAACCTTCTTGTCTTTTCAAACAGACGAGACCCTTGAGATCTATCTGGAGGTGTACGTCAGCAAAGACTCCGTCACACTCCTAAACTCCAGAGAGGACACCATCGAGGACATCCTGGTGCTCCATTTGGACCGTGGCAAGGACTACTTCATCACCATCACTGGCAACTACCTGCCCAGCTGCTTCGGCACRTCGCTGGAGACGCTGTGCCGCATGAAGAAACCCATCCGGGAGGTCCCCATCGAAAAGCTGTGTGACCTGGTGAGGGCAACACCTTTTATCTGAAACCCGAGYGGGGACACACGAGGGATTGTTCTTGTTCACAGGCACTCATAACGTTTATATTTAGAAGGTTTTGTTTTGGACGTGTAGGACCAAACAAACCAGGAAGTAGGTAGGCTGGGAACGCTTAAAGAACAGAGTGACTCAGTCTGTGTCGTATTAATAAACTTCTCTTATCTTCACACAATCGCCGCTCTCTGCTTTTATTGAGCTATATTTTTTAGGCTATCTTATCTGAGTTTTGAATATATTGGTGCTATAATTCCTTTATTTCATTGAAGCCAATCATTTATCCTGCTGGGTTGATGATTTTGAATGGAAGAACACAACCTGTTGACTTTTCTTATTCAGTGTTTAGACATAGTGTCATCTTTTTTCCTTTCTATGATTTCTTTTCTTTTTTTTTCCTAATCACTTCTTGATCTTTCCTTTCCAATGATCCACTTGCAGAGACACAAAGAACTTGATATCCGGCTCAGTAAAAAAGTTAAACAGCTCGCTTTCCAGCCTCAAGACCTCAGAGATTAAAAGGAACTCTATCACTAAGTTAGGATGTGTTACAGGAAGCCTTTTTTGTACATTTTTTCCACTTTATGAAATTGTTTAAATCTTGTCTAATTGCAGTGATGTGAAATTATATTTTGATGACTTTACTCAAATGAGGTAAAACTAAAGTAAAAATGTTCCAATTTTCTCCCAATTAGGAACAGTCTAAGGTGAACTTCCTGCTTTTGGATGGGGCAAGTCCTGAGGACAAACCTCTAAAGATCCCCAAAGAGGTGTGGATCCTGGTCAACCACCTCTACACTAAGTCATGTGACCAGGTGAGACAACTGAAACCTGTAGCTTGTCGAGTCATTAGCATTTGTTGTACAGAACTTTTTTTTTTTGTAAAATCATTTAAAGACAATCAGGAATACAAAATGAGTAAAAACATCTCATGTCGAAATCTGTTTTGTTACTCAGAAGAAAAATGTGCGACCCATCACATCAAAGTGAGGATTAAGTCAAATTTTTAGGCACATTTTCAGATTCCTGCTTTTTAAGCTACATTTTGATATTGATCACCCTGCTGTCACGAGCAGTTCCACAGATATGCTTTGATTTGTCTTCATAATCAGAATAACTCATTGATATTTGGTTCGAATCCTATTTTTAGGTTGTTCTAATGAGGAATCTTTGACATAATTTAAAAGAGGAAACTTCAGTATGGATATTAAGATTTAACAGCTGGTAAGGTAAAAATCTTTGCTACCTCACAGGGAAAATGACAAAAATTTAAGGCTTTTCTGCTCAAAATCGTGGTTTTTGTAGCTACTTCTCAAAAAAGATTATATTTTTGATATTTCATTTAAAAGACCCATAGATGAGGTTGACATTGCTTCAAACGTGATTTAATCCTCTGTTTGATATGATGGGTCACAAATACATTTGAATTAATTATTTAAAACAACTTTACACATGCTTTAGAATAAACTAACGCTTGTTAAAAACTTGAACTGTGTTTAAAAAAAGTTTACAAGTTCCCCGCTCGTCTTCCAGGAGGACCTGTTCCAGACACCAGGATTACAAGAGGAGCTTCAGACCATCATCGACTGTCTGGACACCAGCATCCCGGACTTCCTACGTATCCTTTAAACCTTTCCAGAGACCTGATTTTATTACAGTCAAACCTCTGGAAACTGTTGTGCTTCCCTAACTTATCGTGTAGCCGGCTGTAACCACTCTGTAGCTGAGGCTCTGCTGATCTTCCTGGAGGCGTTGCCAGAACCTGTTGTGTGTTATGAGCTCTACCAACGCTGCCTAGACTGCTCTCATGACAGCCGCCTCTGCAAACAGGTCTTTACATCTCTAATCGTAGACACAAACATAATGAAAACTGACAAACAGCCTCAAGTTAAGAGATTTATGTCTAATATGTTTGATTTCTGTGTTTACCAGCTGATCTCCCAGCTGCCCCGGGCTCACCGTAACGTGTTTCGTTACCTAGTGGCCTTCCTGAAAGAACTTCTGAAACACTCTCACAATAACAACCTAACAGCCAGCCTCGTTGGTAAGAGTCCTTCTGTTTTAAATTGTGTTTATGTACCGTACTGCAGAGTGGGTCAGATAAGGCATCCTGTACCGTCTCTGAACAGTTTTAAAAATATGACTCAAATGGAATATAAAGAAATCTACGCAGCACCATGAGAGACTTAATTMAACTTTTCTGCAATCCTGGACTTCAAGTACACAACAAAATGTATTTAACGGTAAAAGAGTGGATTTTGAATGAWATACACTTTAAGTCAAAACACCACATCCGATTTCCTTTGGGATTTACACTTTATGTTTTTTTTTGTTGTTGTTGTTTGTTTTGTTTTGTTTTGTTTTTAATTATTTTCCAAGACCTACATTATCCTTGTTTTATAAGCTCGCAGAGGAGGAGATAAAAACAACTTTTTTTAAATTTTATTTTTAAGCCACTTCACTAGAAAGCAGAACTGAATATTACCGTAGTTTCTTAGTTTCTTCATCATCAGTGACTTTTTTTTTWAARRARRAAAARAAAGAGAAGAAAAAACTGAAATGTAATGGGAAAGAGTGAAAGAGAGATTAGAAGTTTTGTGAAATATATATCAAGAAAACACAAGACGACACACCCGACATCTTGGCTGCACACCTACAGAAACAGAGATAACAAAAACACAGCAACAAAAATGCATATCTTTATAATTATAATGACTATAGCCTTGCTGATTTACTGTGTGTGTGTATG